TGCACACATGAATGAACAGAAGCCGGGCAGGGATCAGGACATTGTCAAAATATTCAATTGAGCCCTGCAAGTCTATCATCTCATTTTGCGGGATTCCAGGCTGCGGAACACGTTGCAGCATTTGCGTATACTACGCCACAAACCCTCACGCTAAAGATGGGCAAGAATATGGCAAAGCCTCTTTGCGCTTATCCTCTCCTCGCTTTATCCAAAAGGCCCCCCCAAAAAAATAGAAACCGGAAAACCCGATACTCTTGGGATCTGACGGATTGACGACACAGGTGGCACGTTTGGAAGCTTGCGGCGACTGCTCACGCTTGAGCTTGCTGGTGGCCAATGGCCCTTCGAACGGGAAGAAAGCGGAGAAGAATCGGAGAGCGCTGGAGGATGGGCTTTGTGTTGGTGGGGAGTAGACAGCAAAGGTATCGCTACTAGGAGCAAAGGGCATCGCTACTAGGGGCTTAGAAACAACAAATAAATAGAACTAGAATTAACATCTACTTTAGACTATGCAATGTATATCAATGTATATATATGAATCATACGACAAGTGATAATGTAAATTCTACATGCAGGTGGCAAGATGCTGGATAGGAGCCGTGGTAGGTCAAAAAACGTCCAACAGTGTTTTGGGAACTGGGACCCCAAGAGCAGCTGAATGCAACATAAAGCAACCACAGCATTTCAGTCACAAGGGTACATTGTGGCAAGGGTACATTGTTGTGACGACAATTGATGTCATAAGCTTGAGAATGGTATTCAAGATTCACATTTAAAAAAAGTTTGTGATCCCAAATGTTTGAAAAGATCTATCCGACTGAACTTCGCGCCAGGTGCATCGAAGGGAGCATCGCGACATCGATGCTGAGCCATGGTTGCAGGAGGATCCACGAGCGGTCATGAAATTTTGCTTGCGCGAGCTTGAGGCACGAGGCTCGCCCATCAAGATTTACGCCAAGTAATTTTGCTTGTTGTACGACCCCGGTGCCCATGTGACGATCGTTGAGGGCAAGGTGGCGGGGACCTTCAGAGATGGAGAACACCCCAAATGGGTGCACACCCCAATAGTTGTTTTCTCCACGCCCTACCACCTTCCTGGATTTACCATTAGAGTGTGAAAACCACTTTTGCGCCGTGATTTGGACCGTGGATTCCAGTTCTGAGACTTCCCAAGGCTCGGGAGTTGATCGCAAATAGCTTATGGGAGAGGCTCAGTCCAGTTGAGGTTTCATTGGAAGATCTGAACGAAGAAGTGCAGCGCTTGCGAAGAAGTGCCGCGTGTCCCGGAGGTGATTAAACAGGACTCTTCGGAGGCGGAGATGTTTTAATTCAGATTGAGGGCATCGCTATTAGGTTGGAGGCCATCACGTATGGTCAATGTTCCATGAAGTCGTCCCCAAAAAGGGGCCAGTGTTTAATCTTTGTCAATGTATTCACGGTTCTTTGAGTCCACCCATATGTGGACGAAACTCGCTTGTTGTTGTTAACCTTTGAAAATGACATGGATGGTGCTGAGAAGAAATTTAAGGTCACTTCCTGGTAATTTCAAGCATGGTACCGGCAGGATAGATGTGGTAGTACCCGTCCCAGATTTGCAAGGATAAACATAGACTTGGATTTCATCACCAGAGGCTCGGCTTGGTTCTTGAGAATATGGTGCAGCATGGTGCAGCAACGTTGAAAATTGTCGAAGTTGCGAACCTTTTTGGATTCAGGAGCCCCAGTGGTCTCTTGGAATTTTTGGTTCTTCACATCTATAATCTATATAAAGAGGTTGCATTTGGGAGTCTTGGGGTAGGTGGCCCCTCAGTTGGGGCGCTTTGGACACTGCCAGGCCACCGGTGCAGCCGATGGAAGTTGAGGCGAAGCCCAAGAGGCCATGGCCTTGGCGTTTGGAGACTGCAGTGACGGCAGGAAGTTTGGATATGGACAATTCAGATGAGTTTGTTGGGATGTTAGACATTTGGAGAAGCATTGAAGGCCGAAGGCCAGCTCCGCAGAAAAGCCTTCAAAGAGTCCTCTCTCACGTCTTGGATATGTGGATCCATTGAAACGCACGAAAGAACTGAACACCGCAACACCGACATTCTGCCCACTCCACGTATTGCAGTTGCCGTCCGCATCGTCATCCCTCCAGGGTCAAGCGACGGCGGCGGTGAGCCTCGGATCCCCCTTGGAGGCCAAGCGGGGAGACCCTTCAGCGGTTGCCATGGGGTCATTGCACTGGATGGAGATGGAGTGAGGAGATCCCCCCCCTCCTAGAATGCAATTGTTGAATCTATTTGATCCTTGTTGATCCATTTGGACGGTCCATTCTACCTGAGTTTGGCGTGCTGTTGAAGTGATTGGGGATCATTTTCCGCACTTGGGCCGAACATCCCCCCGAGCGTTTCTGCCGCATTTAGTTAACGATAACTTTATGTTAAGATATTAAGATTTGCGGATACATATTTTGCCCAAGTGCAATGAGCTGTGGCTGATTTTTTTCATAAAGCAACAACCAAATTCAAGTGATGGTAAAGGTGGCTTATTTTGGCAGAACCTTAGCCCATGAAAGTTGCCGTCGCGGTTGTTGAACCTAAGTCTTCTTTGTTCTTATTCAAAAAGCCGCCCAAATGGATGGCTTCTCGCGTTTTCTCCACACTGTCCCAAGGCAGTCTTCGCAATTGCTGCGCCGACAAGTGGAGCAGCGAAAAAGCGGCGGTTCATGCAGCAATCCAGGAGCATGAAAAGTTTGACCTATATTACTCAAAGCTGACTGTGATGTGCCAGACTATATAGTTGCGCACACTTTGTCAGATTCATTTGACCCACACCTTGCCACTTCATACTTACTGATGATATCATCATCATCATCATCATCATCATCATCATCATCATCATCATCATCATCATCATCA